CCATGGAGGACAGAAGAGGCTGTTGGAGCCCCTGGAACTGGAGTTACAGACAGTTGTTAGCTGTTATGTAGGTGCTGGGATTTGAACATGGTTCTTCTGTAAGAATAGTCAGTGTTCTTAACTGCTGAGCCATCTCTCCAGTCCCTAGTTAGGCATTTTTAGCTGTATCCAAACAAAGAAGGGAGACAGATGCATTACTCACATTAAGCACTGAGTGCAGACTGAGGGACTAGGAAAGGCCTAGGCTTCCCTGAAACAATGACAGTGGTTATTCCCGGAGAGCCAAGGAGTACCCAAGTTAAGAGCACAGAGCCTGGCAGCCCAGACTGCAATGCTGGTTTGCTACTTGAAGCAATGTGACTTAATCTGCCTGAGCATCATTTCCCCATATACAGGGTGGAGAGGATGGCAACTGTGTCTACCTTATAAGCTGTCATAAAGATTACATAAATTCATACATGTGCTCATATGTTTAAAATGGTATCTGGTACTAAGAAAGTATAAAAAAAGTATTATTTCAAAATTGTTATTAAGTCCTCAATTTATAGGCAAGATGGAGCTGAACTCTTGCCTTGGCTCCTGTTTAGCAACTTCATAGCCTACCCAATTCAAATTCTTGCTAGCTCTTTTCATAATCTCATGTAATTTCACAGTCCTCTGCTATGAGAACTATTTGCCTTGTTATAAATTCTTACAGTGCTGCTTGCTGGAAAAAGAGATTTGTCCCTATAGCGTATAAAAGAGCCATAAGTAGCTTGGAATTTGTTTTAATTTTTTATATTTTTTGTCAGTCCTAGTGATTGAACCCAGGGCCTCATGCATTCCAGGGAAGCACTTACCACTGAGCTATATCCCCAGGCCTTTTTGCAATTATACAGGGCAGCCTAGAACTTACTCCATAGCCCCGGTTATCCTTGAACTTGTCTTCATCTTGCTTCAGGTTTGGGAGTTATAACAGGCCTGCATCATGAAACCTGGCTTAATATAGGATTTTCATGACCTTCATATTAGAAGAAAAGGAAAAGTCCCTTTTCTTCTCAGCATTTGGAATTTTCAGTAAGCAGCTCTATTAAAGTGATTAGAGCCCATGATAGTTGAAACTAAAAAGCATCAGCAACACAAATGCATTTAAATTATTATGAAAAAAATCAGCCTGCACACAAAGCTTGAGTTACCTCAGCTTTAGAGAGTTGCTTGTCCTTGTCCATGTCTATCTCTTTAAACGTTTCAATGCTCCGTGGTCCTTTGGTCACAGCATACAGTTCAATCTCAAATATCAACGTTGCATCAGGTGGAATCTTGCCTTCTGCTAAGGGTATACATTTAACAGTTTGTCTTACATGAATAAAGGTTTCAAATATTTATTCAATAGCTGCATTAGTATTAGGATTCTATTACTTATAGGAACTGCTTTCTAAATACTATTTAAACTTTTTTGCTCTCAAAAAAATTAGAAGGGGAAGATCTTTCAAATTTCTTTTTTTTTTTCCATTTTATAAATATTTTTAGGAACATTTTTCATCATATATTTAAACCAAGTCAATTTAATGGCACTTTAGGACCACTGTTTACTGGTTAAGTTAAAATAAACACATTTTTGTTAGTACACCCTCATCATGTCATAGGAGATAAATGGTACAGAAAGAAAATGTATAAATAGAAAAATTCCAAAGTTGGGCTGGTTAGATGGCTCAGCGAGTAAAGATGCTTGTTTGCCTTTAAGCCTGATAACCTGAGTTCAATTCCTGGGACCTGCATGTTGAAAGAAAACAATCATCTCCCAGAAGTGGTCCTCTGACTTCCATATGTGTACAGTGTCACACAACTCACCCAAATATAAACAAACAAATGTAATTAAAAAGGAAAAAGAAAACAAAGAACTTACAAAATACAGAAAATCTGAGAAAATTATTTTGTATAGTTATTTGGAAGCACAAATAAAACATGAATATCGATTGGTCTTTAAAATTCCTTATAGCCATTAAAAAATTAGTGCAATGGCAAAAATCCAGAAACAATTTTATAAAGAAATTTCTAATTACAATAAAAATTCATATATGAATGCCAATAGTTCTTTTTAATAAATTTAACCTGTTAGCTGATAGCTCTGGTGATTTCAGTGAGATAGGGGCTATTTTAGACAAACATTTCCTAGACTTGCTGAGAGGCCTTGAGTAGCTTGTGCCCTGAATATCTTCCCAGGCCCTTACAGGCCGCCTGGTCTAGTACAGACACATAAATATCTGTGGAATGAATGGCTTCTTTTGAAAGTAGCTGTTTGTCCTTTAAAAGAAACAGCAATTTCTTTAATGACAAAATAGAGTATTCTTGCTAAAATATTCATACAATCCAAAGAGAAAAGGATACAAGTTACAGACCAAAAAATGGAGTGAAATTTCCAAACCAATACACAGAAAAATGTATGCAGGTATCACATGGCAAGTGTGAAAGTCTTAATCTAATGTTCTACAAATTAACTGACTTTAAAAAACAGAAAATAGGGATGGAGAGGTGGCTCAGCAGTTAAGAACACTGGTTGTTCTTGCAGAAGTCCCAGGTTCGAATCCCAGCATCCACATGGCAGCTAACAACTGTCCGTAACTCCATTTCTAGGGTATCTGACAGCCTCTTCTGTCCTCCGCAGGCATTGCACAACACGGGTGCACTTACCTACACGCAGGCAATACACGCATACACATAAAAATAAATAAATATTTAAAAAAATAGAAAATAACTTTTGACAATTAAGACAAACTCAAAACACAGATTCTTTTTGTTTTATTGGTGGCGATGATCAAATGAGGGTCTGTTAGGCCAAATGAGCTTACTGAGCTATACCCCAGCCCAAACTCAAATGTCCTAAGGAAAAATGTCACAGGTACATAGGAAATTTCTGAACAATTCTACTGCAAATAGAGAAAATATTGCTAATTAGTTTTTGTACAAAAAATAAAGTATAAAAATAGAAAAAATATGAATTGCTATAGAATTACTTAGAGATACAGATCAAAGAGGTAGGAGTTATTGTGAATATATACATACCACATAAATCGTTAGTTAAAGCACTAAAGTCACATGCATTTCAAGACATGCAGGGGTGTTCTGTAACATGAGGCAAGGATATTTTGCAGAAGAAAAACTTCTTCAAGCATTACCTAAAACGAAGTCACAGCTAATGTTAAGTCTTAATAACAACTTTAAGAAGCTTATGTAATCAAGATGTTCATCGTTAAACAGTTAGCTATGGTCTGAACCACAATTCTAAAATCATGGAATCTAAGGTACTGTAATACAAGGTCAGTAGTTAACTATGGTCCAATGTGCATCCTTTTTGGGACCTCAGTTTCCCTATGAGTAAAATGAAGGTGTGGGTAGTATTAATCATTTTGATGTCTACTGGAGGCTTCTCAATTTGAATAAGATCTGTCTACTCAAACTTTTACCTCCCAGTAAGAAGGGTCTAGTTTACAGTTTAGGTAGCTGAGCAGTCATTCCTAGCTAAGTATAAGTTAATTTATGTAAAAGATAAAGAAGTAATCATTTTGCTGTATTGTAATGGACCCAAGACTGGCACCTACGGATGAAGACTGAGGGTGCTGATGAAATGCAGAACATGGAGGCTTTTGATCAGTTGTGAAACTGCAGGGAGAGATTCAAGGCAAACTTGACTTGCATAGTTTTGTCTAGAAGTAGCCTCAGCTTAAGATATTTTAAAGATGGCATTGTGTTTAAATTATTTTCAGTTTTCTTTCCCACGTTCCTTTATAAAATAACCACACAAAATTCAGGATATACAAATTATGATACCATCAGAGCTTTCTTTTTCTTTTTCCTTTGCAGTGCTGGGGATCAAAATTTAGGGTTTTGCTTACGCTAGGTACTCTCTACCACTGAGCAAGACACCCAGTCCTGGGAGCTCCTCTGATGGCACTAAATGACTGGCAAATGCAGAGAAAATGAAGCTGTAGTTTTCTGGAAACATCTCTTTTGGAGTGTTAGGTCTAACTGGCCTCATAGCACTGACTTTCCTCAATACGACTTGGGACAATGTGACCTTGCTTTTGCTGACAGGTGTAGGCGAGGGGCTCACCATTCTTAATGAACTAAGTCAGCAGTTTCAAGGAACGCGTGCTTGCTCTACAAGACATTTGGGAATAATGCCAATATCGCATCCTAGGAAACTGATTGCTAATTATGAATCAAATATTTCAAATATGTGGAGTTAGCAAAAGCTCTAAACATGGTGAACAGGCAGAGTCTTTCATACTGCAATAGGGAGCAAGGACCGCACTGAAGACAGACAATGGGGCTTGTTCCTGTCAGGTTGCCCACCCTCCCTTGTAAATTTTCCCTCTTTTGCAACATTAAAAGAAAATACATGTACATGATTTTTAAAAGTCACAGTATAAAATTTCAGAGTTGGAAGAAATCATCTCATCCTCGACCCTCAGGGTTTCTTCCCCAACACTTCCCATCATCAAATGACTACCATGCATCTGCACTAGCCTGTGTAGGTATAGGCATATCTGAAATTCCCCTCTACAAATGCAAACACTTTGAGGTCAATGAGTTGTATCTACTTTATGCTCCGTGTTGTGCCTGCAAAAGAAACTGGCATGGATGCTCAATAACTACTTAGTTTTTAGAATATACCGTGTCACTTTATTTTCAAAATATTAATATCTATGGACCGACTTCATTCTTTTTACTGACTACACATGAATCTACTGGATAGATATGCCATAATTTATTTCACTTCCTACTCATGGACACTCAGGTAGTTCCCAGTACTTTGCTACAAAAAAAAGCAAGTTGACAATTTTGATGGTTAATTGTGATTGTCAACTTGACTGGATGTGAAATGAACAGGTGAGCCACTGGGCATACCAACAAGGGATTTTCTTTTTTTTAAAGCAGTTTAATCGAAGTGAGAAGACCCGCCCTAATGTGGTCAGTGCCTTTGGGTGGCAGATCAGATACAAGGAATTCCAAGAAAACAAAGGTTTTCCCCTTTGCCTGCTTGTCTTCATGTTGTGCTGGTGAGTTCATCTCCCCTGTTGGCATCTTGCTGTTACTGCTTGCCACTGCTGTCACTATTCTTTGCTGACATTGGAACCCTTCAGCATTCCAATGTGTGAAGGCCAGTGGCTCTCCAGGAATCCTCCAGGTCTCCAGTGCCAGGCTGGGACTGTGGAGACATCTTGCCTTGAGGCATGAGCAGCTACTTGGTTTGCAGCCTCTCTAGTGTGAAGGCAGCCATTGTTGGACTACTCAGACCTCACCATATGGTGTAAGGCAACTTAATTAAATCCCTTTCTAATGTGTATTCATTCTATTGGTTCTGCTCCTCTAGAGAACCCTAATACAGCAATGAATATTCTTTTACAAATACTTTTGTGCATATTCCTAAAAATCAAATCACTGAGTCAGAAGATAAAGATAGATTTTTTAAAATTTTTACTTATTTATATTTTATGTGTATAAGTGTTTTGTCTGCATGTACATATGTGTACCACATATGTACAATGCCCATGGAGGCCAGAAAAGGGCATCAGATTTCCTGCAACTGGGGTTACAAGGGTTGTTAGCTGCCATATGGGTGCTGGTTCTCTGGAAGATCAGCCAATGCTCTTAATCATTGAGTCATCTCTCTAGCCCTGAGGATGTAATTACTTTTGATACAAACTGCTAGAGAGTCAAATAACTTCCTTTCCCAGCAATAGTATTCAAAATGGCTCATTTTTCCATGCTTTTATTAACATTTTTATCCTTGCTAATCTGATAGGTAAAAAATGGTATTTAATTTTTCTGTAATTTCCTTTCAATTATGAGTAAAATTTAATATTATCTTAGAATTAAAGGTAATTTGCATTTTTATTAGCTTGTCTGTGAACTTGGCCCACTTCTAGGGCTAGATCATTTTATCACCAATTAGTATTTATACATGTTACAAACATTTCCCTCACTTACCTACTCTATGCAGATTTGCATATCTTCCTGCTCTAGGATTTTAAAAACAGGCACAACATGGAAAGGGTAAGTTCATTCTTTCTACATCTAAGGCTTCTCCTGTGTTGGGTAACACTGACTAAGACCTTATTATCTCTTAGAAGTTACAATGTTCTAGTACTATCCTTTGATTCTAAAATCATGTTCCAGCTTCTCAAGTTTTGTTAATTTTACTTTGATATGGATTATCAAAGATCTGTATTATAAATATTTGTATAATAAAAATGGTACTAAAAACAAAAATGTCCAGGAAAGCCTATGGAATAGACATTATGAGTACTATATCCATGAAGAGGTAAAAAACTCTAGTCAGAGGCCTCCATTCCAAAGACACCTTATTTTCTTTAGATATGGAAAGGAACTAGACTGGACTGAATTAAGAGTTTGCTGGACATCATGATTCTGTGATTATTCTATGATTTTTAAAAGAATTGTGGCAAAATACACCTAACCCAAAGTTTACCATCTTAGCCATTTTTAAACAGCATAAAGTACAATTGCATTACTGTGCAACCTATCTCCTTGTCTTATCTTGAGCAGTGACACTACACTATTGAGCAGCACCTCCCTTAGAATTTTGTTCCTTTTAAAGCCTATATAATAATCCATTGTGTGCATATACTCCAGTGTATTATTTACTCTTCTGTCTCTGGATTCTAACACTTTCTTCCATCTTTTGCCTATTGTGAATGGTGCCGCTGTGAACATGGGTGAATAAATATGTCTTTGAGAGTTACTTTATTTTTCACATGTACTGAAGCCTATGATTTTTAAATATGACTAAATGAAGATATATTAAACACCTTACCATAGCCTTCTTTCCCATATGCAAATGAAGGAGGTATAATCACTTTTCTCTTCTCTCCAGGGCACATATCCATCATGGCAATGTCTAGACCCTCTATGACTTGCCCAACACCAAGAACAAACCATTTGGGGTGGCCTTCATTTTGTGTCCGACTAGAATAAGAAGTAACACTTAGTGACTTGATCTCAAGAAGCCAAATTTTAAAATACAGCGAGGCACTTAGTTATAATTTAAAATTTGAGTCTCTTTTCACATATTGGCACTCTTCTTGAACCCCCTCCCTTGTGAGGTATTTGGCTCAAACGTCGTCATAAACTGGCAGAAAGAAGCATCATTTGCCCAAAACTAGTCATAAGAAGTCATCTCATTTTCTTTTGTACTGCTAGCCTTACAGAAACTGTCCAACAGTTAACTTGTTAATGGGTCTCCTGCCTCTAACTAGCTTCACAGTTTGCATAAATAACTCACTTAACTTCTCTGGGTTTGTTCTAAAACAGGAAGGGGCAGGCTGAGCCTCAATTTTTATTTTAATAGCAATGTAAAATAGCATTTTTTTCTTGTCAGATTTCTCTCTTTTCCTCTAAATGGGAAGGACTTAGTTTCTCCAGGCCTATTTTTGGAGGTAATAAAAAGTACAGTCATGAAAGGACATCAATTAAATCAGAGTAGGCAGTGGGTGGAAGAGCTCACCAGGGAGGCACTGCAATAGTGGCTCTAATTTGAAAATGACCTCAGCCTGAAGTCCAGAATAAAATTGCCATAACTACCCTGTGCAATCTCTTTGGAAAGAGACTCCAACTCTGGGTACTGGGAAAGCTGAATATCCTTCCAAGCATTCCCTTGATTTGGTTTTCTAGGGGTCCCTAAGGACAGTGTTGGTGGGCGGTGGTGTGCATAGATACAGGGCATCTGTGGTCAAATTTTTTAGCTAACAATTTCAACAATTTAAAAAGATTCAGTTTTTTTTTAGGGGCCTACTGCCTTCTAATCTAGATCTACTAGATGGTTTAACTTGATGTTTTTTGTTTGCTTGTTTTTTTTTTTTTTTTTAAAACCAGCTTAAACAAGCTTGAAACAACCAAGTAGGCTTCTGGCTGGTAGTGGTAGTCCTAGGGAGGTAAGATGGGTGCATCTACTGAACAGGAGCACCGTGAAGCATTGCCTACCTGCAGTAGAACTTCGTGCCGTCTTTAGCCAAGTAGCCGTCATAATGGGCATTTAGCAGGTCTCCCTTTCTGCTTGTTTTAGTGCAGTTTTCTGGACGATGCAAAACTTCTATTTTCACTTCTTCCGTGCGGTCTTTCTTTTGTCCCTGGCCATGAAAACAGCTACACATACAAAAGAAAAGGGGTAGTCCAAGTAGGAAGTGCATGGTTCCTGCAGCAGATCGCCCACGACCACAGGGATCCCAACAGCTAGTGCCCAGTGTCGCGTAAGGGAGCCGAAAGAGACGCGTGGCAGCCACGTCACAAACGGACCTAGGCCCCACCCCCTTCCCCTAGAGCTCAGTGGTTGTAGTTGTCTGCAGCTTCCAGAAGTGTGTCTGCTGTCCCCCAGGCTAAGACAGCACTGCACACACGTTGTTCCATTGTGCTCAGGCTCAGCTTCCTAAAATAAAACTGTCAGAAGACATAACAGCGGGATGTTTTAGTCAGGGAATAGGTGGTCATTCGTAGGTGTTTTGGAGATGCTGTGAAATGCTATGCGTCAGGTTGGTGCCCTGATCTTGCCTCCCCATTATGCCACCAACTAGAGGCCCAATTGCTAAGTGGTTTTAAGTTTTTTGAACAGTAAGTAGAACCATTTAGTCTGAGAAAAATCGGATTAGATGGCACGTAGGTGCCTAAAACTGAATATTAAAAAAAGCCAAATAGCCGGTGGTGGGATGTTCTAGTCAGAATATGGCTCTTTTCTGGGCGCAAAAGGATTCTTGGAAGAGCGGGTCAAGTAGGTTTGCTGTTGCTTCCTAGGAGCTACTGGGATGTCCTCAAGGCTTTCTTCAGACCAGGGTCCTGCTCCTGCATTAAGGGACTCCAGGCTCCTGTCACAGGCATCCTGACCACACAGAATGCCACCCAGAGGAGAGGTTGCTCAATTACTAGCTTGCTTTTCCATCCTTGATTTAAAGGCCTAAAGGCCTTTACTAAAACAAAACATAATAAAATCATTGTGAGATCCTATTTTATTCACATTAGACAGAAAATTTGAATATTGAGCGTTTTGTTCCAACCTCAGGGCCAACCTGCAGCAGCTTGGTCATTACAACCCTTCCCCCATTTAGTATGAAAACTTTCAAATTTTACAGCCAGATACCCACCATACTTAGGCTATCATTAATGTTGAACTGTATTCAATTGCATATCCATCGACCCATCAATTTACCTCATTTCCAAGTAAATATTTAGACTGCACAATCCAGGCAGTGCCTTCAGGGAAGGCTGGTTTGAGTTCAACTATGTCCAGCCTCGGCACTGGCTGGGCCTGCTATATGTGATTGTTTGGAATTTCCCAAATTCCTTTAATCTGGAAAATTACTATCAAGTATGTGAAGTGATGCTCTCTTCCAAGCAGGACTTTCAAAAATAAACTCAACGAGAAAGCCTTTATTTTTCAAAAAAAAAAAAAAAAAAAAAAGCCAAAGCTTAGTTCCATTTATTTTTATTTTTCTAGGCAGGATCTTACTTTGTAGCTCTGGCTGGCTTGGAATTCAACATGCAGAATAGGCTGGCCTTGAACTCAAGAGATCCGCCTTCCTCTGCCTTCAGAGAGCTGGGATTAAAGGCTTTGGTGCCACCACACCCATCTTAAAAAAACACTTTTAAAAATTACATTTGCGTGTGGGTATGGGGGTGTGTGCTTGCTGTGGCCAACACGCAGAGGTCCGATGATAACCCGTAGGAGTCGGTTCTGTCCTTCCGCCTTGTGGGTCCCCATGATGGGACTCAGGCCCTTAGGCTTGGCGGCCAAACACTTTTGCTGGTTGAGTCAACTTGGCCCGCCATAGTTCCATGTTTTACAGTCTCAGCAAAGTTGTGGCTCTCTACCGTGCTGGTGTGAATTTGTCGGAGGGCCTCATCTGCTGCATACTGCTTTCCTAGAGCATTTCTTTTCCTCTTTCTTTTTAGAAAGTGTCCCACGCAGTAGCCTAAGCTGGCATTGATTTTTGTGGTCCTCTTCCCGCCTCAGCCTCTAGAGTGCTGGGATCACAGGTATGAGCATCTACTCCCAGTTTTTCCCAAGATGATTTCCCAGATTCCCTGGGAGTAAGAACTGGAAGCACAGATTTTAAGGCTTTCAGGCTTAAGAGGAGGAAACCACGGGAGGCCTAAACCAAGGTCCCCGGCTGAGTGCACCCCGGAACTCGGCTGGGCTGAGCCCGGAGGGCCCCGCAGGCCTGGCCGGGGTGGGGGACCGGGGGCGTCCAGGGACCCCGCACGGGGACCGCGGGCGGGGCGGAGCAGAGCTAAGCGCCGCCCGAGGCCGTGAGCGCACGGCGCAGCCTCTGGCACGTTGCTCCCGCAGCCCCGTCGCCACCGGGGAGGGGTTTCTTGGGCCGAGCCGGCCCCTTTCATCCAGGAAGTGAAAGCGACGTCGGGGTCAATGGAAACAAACCGGGAGCCCGGGGGAAGGCAGGCGCGTGTGGAGGAGGGCAGCGGCGGGGCGGGGAGCAGCACGGAGCCGAGGGCCGGGGGGCTGCCGCCAGGTCGCCGCGCCGAGGCTTGCCCGGGATGTCTGCGCCTCGCGGCCGCCCAGCAGCACAC